CAAAACCCGGGCTCCAGGCTCAATGGGATTTGGACGCCACCAGCTGGAAGCGCTGTGTGGACTCTCCGTGTGGCCAGAGCTGCCAGAAAAGGCTGATGATGCCTCAGGGTCCAATATCGGTTGCTGAATGAAGATGAGAGTATTTACCATGAAATTCAGAAGGAGAATAAGTGAGGGAATACATGAAATTTGCACAGCAGAGTCTGAAACACAGTGGGAGTAGAACAACTTTGATCTCTTTCTGAAACACACAAGTGCAAAGATGAACAAATACAATTTACTACCGTTGTTTACGGTGGATAAGCTATGGACCAGCCAATAATACAGATTTGGTCAACTAGATGATGTTCATTCATATAATGGAACACAGTCGCAGCCACTAACCATCACAACATTGAGTAACATGAAAAGTATTCACAGCTCGTTAAGGAAAAGAGCAAAATCATTGAATTCTCCAATCACATTGGTGAAGAGACAGAACCAAAGCTCAATAATGTGATCCCCTGGCCCTTCTTTCCTGTCTTGTGTCTTCTCTCCCTCCCTGGCCTCCCCTGCAGTTCCTGATACTCCTGTGTCTGATTCCAGGGGAGAACTCTGAGGCTGGATCTCCCACCGCTTTAGGGGTGGTGAAAAAGGAGCTCCTTGTGGAAGTGCTGGAGTACTGCTCATATAAGGTCAACAACTATTTGGACCACCTGTACAAACCACGGCCCATAAAGGAGATCATCAAGTTTGTGAACGGGTTGGTTGGTAAGAAGATGGGGCAGCCGGATAAGAAAATGAACTGTGAGCACTTTGTCACGGATCTGAGATATGGCAATGCCCTCAGCGGGCAGGTAAGGCCCTCTGTGGGAGGCTCCCTCTCCGATGGTTGGTAAGGAGAAGGAGTACAGTATTGTGAACGGGAACTGTGAGCACTTTGTCACCTCTCTGAGATACGGCAAGGCCCGCAGCCTGCAGGTAAGGCCTTCTCTGGGGGTCTCCCTCTCCCTTCTGGAGGTCTGCTTGGGATGGGGGTGACAAGGCAGAGGCAAGAATTACCCTGAATAATTCAAAAGGGAGCTCTCAGGGTCTTGTTGGCTGGGAGTCAGGACATCTGAGAACAAATCTCACATCTGCTTTTAAACCACTCAGGGTCTTTGGACAAGGTACTTCCTCTCTAGCCTCAGTTTCCCCATGTGCAAAAGGAGGGATTTTGGAGGACCTCTGGGGTTCTGGCCACCTCTGTCCCTTTAGGATCCTTCACCTCTATGATCTACCCTAAAGGCAGCTCCTGATGCCCTGTGTGCTGTCAGGGAAAGTCTGGGCCAACCCTGGACCATGACAGGTCTCCTAAGGCCCCAGAGAGCCCTCGAGCAAGAGATGCTCAAGGTCTGTGGCCCATGTAAGAGCTCAAGAACATGTTATGTAAGATCTGGACACATCCTTACCCCTACCCGCTTTCCCCTCTTATTAAAACACAGCTAGTTAAGAGGCAGGAGCAGGATTCAATGCAAAGTGCTCCCTGCTCTTTCTGCTGAACCACAGCACCTCCAGGGCTCACAGCCCCTGTGACTGGGTGATGGGCAGCCCGGATGGAGGAGATGAGGGGAGGAGGAGCAGGATTGGGAGGGAAATTAAGGGTCTGATGCTCAGGTGGGGTGTTGAGGTGACCAGTTAGACATCCAGGTGGACCTGTTGAGTAGCAGTTGGACATGTGAGTCTGGAGTTCAGGGCTGAGGTGGGGCTGGACATAGAAGTTTCCAGGCTGCACTTGGGAACAGTACACAGAGCACGGTGATCCCTGAGGCCATGCTTTCCCATCCTCTCCCCGCAGCCCTGCCACCACCTCCCTCTGCAAAGGTGGAGCCCAGGTAGAGCCCCCTCCACAGAGCCATTCCCACTTTCACCCCAAGAGCTGTGGTCCCAGGGGCCCAGGCAGGAAGCCTCCACCCCTACCCACCTCCATCAGGACCAAATGGCCCCACCTAGGAGGCTCTCACAGAAGGATCACATCTGTACATCCTGCCAGTTGTCAGGACACATCCGGACAAGCCCAGCACTAACAATGGTCACACCTTCCGCTTCCCAGGGAAAGGGTTGTTGGGACAAGGCCAGCATCTCTGAGAGGCCAGGCCCCCAGGGAGGGCGGGAGCATGAGTGTGGCCTTCAGCCCCTGAGGCGGGAGGGACAACCTGCCTGGACTTTCTGTGGACTCTGAACCCGGGCTGCTCCCTCTCAGGCAGAAACGATCATGACTGATCCAAATAAGTACCTTGGAAATGCAGCTTGGACAGCTCTCACCTGTTCTGTCATGAAGAAGCCATTGCCCAACACCAGTGACAGCCTGAAGGGGCACAAAACCCCGCATTAGAAGCCGCTGTAGAGATGACCTCGCACAGTCCGGTCCCCCTGACCCCAGCTCTCGGGCAACCTGTCGTTCTGTCTCTCACTGTCCCTCTCTCACTGGCCGAAGGATGGACTGATTGTGCCAAGACTGAGGAATTCATACATGAACCTACATACCCTCCAGGGAGGAATTCCGCTCCTTCTGTGGCTCCTAAGCAGAACGGAAGCACCTGGGCACCTGGTGGGGACCCAGCGTTTGCTGTCGTGTGACCTGGGGAAAGCTCTGGACTCTCAGTTTTGTTTTTCTTTCATATTTTTTTCAGAGAGGAAGGGAGAAGGAGAGAGAGAAACATCAGTGATGAGAGAGGATCATTGATCGGCTGCCTCCGGCATGTCGCACAACAGGGATTAAGACGCAACCTGGGCATATGCGCTGATCGGGAATCGAACTGTGACACATGGTTCATAGGTCAACGCTCAAGCACTGAGCCACCAGGCTTGTTGTTCTTTTCTAACTCAAAGGTCAAGTCCTCACCCATCTGTGACGACCACATGGAATTAAATCATCTTCCCGTGACCAACTTGCCATGGCTCAAGCTGCCCCTCATTGAATACTGAAATGAATCACGTCCACCTAAAATTTATCTAAAAAGAAAATTGAGTCTTTTATAAAACATAACCTCTTCAGAGTATCCCTTCGCTAATACCTAGTGTGCCCTGGGTGTGGTCTCTAAAGGGGTGGGTACCCTTTCCCTCGTCTTCCTCGCCTGGCCTCTGTCACCAGTGGCCCCACTGAATGGCCACTCTCCATGGTGGCAGCACAGCCCCTCACACTCTGACTGGAGACCTGGGGCGTCCCCTCCCCTGGGCTGCACCTTCCTGGCAGGAGAAAGCTGGGGGGCCCCGATCCCCGCGGTGCACAGACACCAGGCGGGGACAAAGCTCAGGGTTCAGAAGGTTGAAAAACGAGGAGAAGGACTTGTACTTGCTGCCAAGGAGGGCCCTGCTCAGATCCCCAGGTGGAATGTCCGCCTCCGTGCGGGTCCGGGAGGATCCATGCTGGCCTCGCTCCCAGGCTCCCTCTGGGTCAGAGGGCACAGCTGCTCTGTGAGCCCAATACCCAGCGGGTGAGACAGGAGAAGGCTGTCTCGCTTCTTGGTCTAAAGCTCCCCCCATAGCCGTGGGAGACGGGGAATCCGGGGACTCGGGTCTTATGGGAGATGTGAGCTCCGGGCTCTAATTCTAGGCAGTAAATCTCCCCTGGGACCAGACCCAGGCTCCCAGCAGCTCTGGAGGGACCCAAGGGTGGTGCCAGCTCCACCCCCTCCCCTGGGTGCCCCTGGACCAGGGGTGCTAAACCATGGAGTTTGACTCACCCACAGTCCCCTCCAAGTGAAACTGCCTCTGCCTCCAGGGTCAGGTTCAAACCATGTGACGGGCCCCATCAGTCAGAACTGATTGGCTCAGTGTGCTCACCTGACCCAACATTAGCCAATCAAGAGGCTGAGCTAGGAGTAAGCTGAGCCAATCAGATTCTCTCTCAGGAACTGGAACAGGGAACCCAAGAGCTGCAGGCACTGAGGAGAGATGCTGCTGAGCTGATGCGGAAAGGAAAGCCATGGAGTGAGCTGTCAGGGGCCAGCGACGCTGGGGAGATGACGATACTAATTGTTCTAGAACCAAGAGGAGGAGAGAGTAGCAGGAGGAAAGGAGCCTCGGCCACTGGGGCTGCGTCACATTCATGGCCGAGAATCCTCAACACAATTCCCGCCGCTGAGCCCCGGCCCTGGCGGGCCAATGGGTCCTGCTCTTGCCCTCACAGGTGTGTCTCCTGCCCCTCACCCGTCCTCACCCTCCAAGAGGAAACCTGAGAAAAGCAGAGAATGGCCGGGACGCATTCAGGCGGCTGGGGAAGAGCCCGTCACTGAGCTCGGCTGCCACGGCCACACACCACCGGCTGGGGGCGCAGCACAGACACTCATTTCTCACCGTCCTGGAAGCTGACAAGTTCAAGGCGAAGGTGCTGGCAGGTGCAGTTCCTGGTGGAACCCTCTTCCTGGCTTGCAAATGGCCACCTTCTCGCTATGTCCTCACATGGAGGAGAGAGGGCTCTGGTCTGTCTTGTAAGAGCACGGATCCCATCATGTCCACCCCACACCCTCGCCACCACCTCATGACCTCCTCTGAGCCTAATGACCTCCCAGAGGCCCAGCTCCAAACACCATCATATTGGGGGTTAGGGCTGCAACATGAATTGTGGGGGAAGGGGGACACACACATTCAGTCCATGACAGAGCCCAACTGTGTCTTTAATAGCATTCGCCCCAGCCGTATTTCCCCAATTAAATCTTCCTTTGCTTTTGTAGCTCCATTAAAAGCAGCCTGAATGGCCTGGCTAATGTGGCTCAGTGGTTGAGTGTTGTTCCATGAACCAAGGTGTGTCTGGTTCAATTCCCGGAGGCTCGATCCCCAGTAAAAAGTGTGCAGGAGGCAGCCACTGATGTCTCTCTCCTATCGATTTTTCTCTCTATTCCCTGTCCCTTCCTCTCTTTCTAAAAAACAAAACAAAAAAAACATATTTTTAAAAAATTTAGTCTAAATGAGTATAAAACAGAGTGAAATCAATAAACCCAACCCACCCCCGCTGGCTAAGCAAGGCCTCTCCAGACTACCTGGGTGCCACTAGGATGATTCCTTGACGTCACTGCTCTTCCCGCTCGCGTCTGCCCCGCAGGGACCCGATGAGGGCCGCGATGACCAGGCCCACGCCGAGGAGGCCAACTGCCACTCCGCCCGCCACGACTGCTTCGGTGACCTGAAACACAAGAGATGAGGCGTCACACTCCTCATCAGGGGCCCGGCCACGGACACACCCACCAAGAATCTTCACTCAGGAGAGACCTGTGTCCCCTCCAACGGAACCACAGAAGGAACGAGTGTTTGCAGGGCAACAGGCCACCAGGAGAGCGGAGAACAGGCGGGGAGAGAACAGGTGGGAGAAGGAGCTGTGGGTGTGAGGGAGACAGCGGCCCTGT